CCGCTCTCACCCCCCACCCCCCCTCCCACCCCCCCCCACCCTGCCGCCTACTCTGCCCCCCCCTTCCTCCTGCTTGTTCCAACTTGGCGTCCATGGCCCATGCCCTTCGACCCCCAACAACCTACTCTTTCGCCTCCTCCCACCCCCAACCCCTTCCCCCTCCCAACACCTCGTCCCCTTACCCTTCCACGAGTCTTAAGGCTCCAGTGCATGCCCGCACCCCCCCCCCACTCCGCCCCCCCACCCCGCCCGCCCCACACCCCCCTCGCATGCCCTTCGACCCCCCACCACCTACCCCCTTCGCCCCTTCCCACCCCTCTCGTCCCCTTACCGTTCCACGCCCCCCCCTCCCCCCAACCTAAGTCTTACGCCCCCCACCCCACTCCCCTGTCCCCCTCCTCCGCATCTCAGCCTAACCCCCCCTCCCCCCCCCCACCCTCCACCCTCCCCGCCCCCACCTCCCCCCCACTCCCCTGTCCTCCGCCTGCAGCCGAGCCCCACCCCCGACGCCGCTCCTGACCAATCTCTGTGTTGGAGGGGTTCCAATGCACGCCCGCCCTGACCGCTCTCCCCGCTGACCGCTCTCCCCGCTCTCACCGCTCTCATCGCTCCGCTTCCCTATGTGCCCGAGTTACTCCCTAATCCAACACCAACCCTCACTCCCCCCTCCACAGTCACCCCCCCCCCACCCCACGCCCCCCACCCCACCCCCACCCCCGACACCCCCACCCCACCCACCCCCTACCTCCCCACGCCTACTCCGTCCCCACACCCCCTCCACCCGCCCGCCCCCCCTGCAGCCTATTTGCTTCCTTCACTCCACTCCCCCGCACCCACCCACCCCACCCCCCACTCCCACCCCGCCCCCACCCCCCCCCACTCCCCTGTCCTCCGCCTGTGGGCCTCCAATCTTTAGTGTTCTAGAAGTTCCAATGCACGCGCCCGGCTCTCCCCGCTCGCACCGCTCATGCCTCCGCCTCACCCTCCACTTCCCCTCTACCACACTCCACCAACCCCCGCCCCCCACCCCCCCCCCACTCCATGTCACTTACTACCCCCCCCTCTTACCCCCCCTCCGACCCCCCTCACCCCCCCCTCCCCCCCCTCGCCCCCCCCCTCTACCCCCCCTCCCCGCCCCCACCTCCCCCCCACTCCCTGTCCTCCGCCTGTCGGCCTAGCCCCACCCCCTACACCGCTCCTGACCAATCTTTAGGGGTTCCAATGCACGCCCGCCCTGACCGCTCTCACCGCTCTCATCGCTCCGCTTCCCTATGTGCCCGAGTTACTCCCTAATCCAACACCAACCTTCACTCCCCCCTCCACAGTCACCCCCCCCCCACCCCACCCCCACCCCCGACATTCCTTCACCACTCCCCCGCAACCACCCACCCCACCCCCCACTCCCACCCCGCCCCCCACCCCCTCCCACTCCCCTGTCCTCCGCCTGTGGGCCCCCAATCTTTAGTGTTTTAGGGGCTCCTTCCCTGCCACTTTTTCTCCAGCTACTTCCCACTTACCTCACTTGCCCTTGCCACTTTTTCTCCAGCTACTTCCCACTTACCTCACTTGCCCTTGCCACTTTTTCTCCAGCCACTTTCCACTTACCTCACCTCCTCCACCTACCTCTCCACTTCCCCTCTCACCCCCCCCCCCCCCCCCCCCCCCCCCCCCCCCCCCCCCCCCCACTCCCCTGTCCTCTGCCTAGGCCTACTGCGCATGTCAGGATTCCAATCCACCGCCCCTCCCCGCTCTCACCCCCCACCCCCTCTCCTCCCCTGCCTTCCGCCCCCAACTCCACCAACCCTCGACCGTCACCTCCCCTGTCCACCCGCCGCGCTCCACCCTGCCTTCCGCCCCAACCCTCTCACCAGAGCTGGTCAAATGAGTCCCCTTTCCGCCAGCCGCCCCCACCCTCTCCCACTCCCACTCCCTAACCCTCCCACCAACCCTCCCCAGCCCTCATCATTACCCCCTCCCACCATCGTGCACCATCCGACCGCCCCCCCGCTCTCACCGCTCTCATCGCTTCTTCATCTCTATGCCCCCCAGTCCACCCCTGCCTTCCGCCCCCAACTCCCTAATCCGACACCAACCCTCTACCGTCACCCCCCACACCCCCCACCCCCACCGCCCCCCCCGCCCCCGCCCCCCCCGCCTGCCCGCGCTCCACCCTGCCTTCCGCCCCAATGCGACTGTCTTGGGTCTGGGGTCGGCGGCACTGGCGGTAGCCATCAAATATATATATATATATATATATGTATGATATTGTATAATATCGTATGATTCGCAATATGTGCCACACGCCCCGCCTGGGACTTCTGAGGCGAAAAACAGCGTGCCCGCTTGCGAGGTTCCATCTCGGAGCCGCGCTGGGCGGCGAGCATCGCCGACAGCTAGAGGAGTTCAAGCGCTGCAGCCGTGGGGGGGCGTACTTGACATGCATGCCATGCTGATGGGTAGCTCATGGATTCTGGCTTCATGTTGGGACATGCATGCCTCCACATCTTACCGCTTTGTGTTTTCAGGGCCTCTTGAGCCCTGAAGCACTTCAGTGAAGGTTTGCTGGCTACACATGGCCCACAAATGAAGGCTGGCATTCCCGCAGGGGGATTTGAAAGTCAGCACCTCCCCTGCAGATAGCTCCAGACACACGGCATACCTGCGTGCGCGTGCGCGCGTACCATATACCCACAACCCCGACATGCACAGCAAAGCCCGCAGCAAAGCATGGAACTGGGCAGCGGAGACAAGCCATACAGTGGGGTTTACCAAGTTTTCCGCGTGGGAGACATTGTGGGGTTTCGGCGCCTCACGCTGGAGCACCGGCTCACCGCTTTCCTCCTCGAAGCAGCAGTAGGGACGGCTTGGGGACAGGGGGAGGCGTGGCCCTTCTGCGACCCGGCCAAACTGGAACATAAACTCCTATGTCACGTCTCTTTGCATCCAAGTCCTATCAGTTATCGGGCTTCAGAGTCTTCAACTTAAAAAGGATGGCTGCCTGAATTATTATCGCCAAACCCGTCGTATATATGAATACCCTCAGAACTATAAGCCCCACGTCAAAGTGCGGTTGTGTGTCTATGTTTGTGCACGAAACAATCTGAGTTTTCTTTCTGTTGGTTCGTTGGCTAGCAGGGAATGAGGGAATGAGGTACCCTCTATCATCCCTTAATTAAAGGATATATATATATATATATAGGGGGATATAGGGTACCTCAGTCTCTCATTCCCTGCTAACCAACAGCAAGTTGTTCAACAGAGTTGACGCCTTACTCCCAATGCCAAACGCTCCCAGATGGCCTCAGGGACAGCCTCCTCCACTGGGACCTGCACAACTCTTCGGGTAGTTTAGGGTTTAGGGTTTAGGGTTTAAGGTTTAGGGTTTAGGGTTTAGGGTTTAGGGTTTAGGTTTTAGGTTTTAGGGTTTAGGGTTTAGGGCTTAGGGTTTAGGGTTTAGGGCTTCATGGTCCCTTAGATGGCACTCTGGGCAAATCGGCTCAACCACGTCTCCCCAACCTGGCACCCTCGATTCTCCAGAGCTGCGGTTCCGAGTTTAGGGTTTAGGGTTTAGGGTTTAGGGTTTAGAGTTTAGGGTTTAGGGTTTAGAGTTTAGGGTTTAGAGTTTAGGGTTTAGGGTTTAGAGTTTTGGGTTTACGGTTCAGTGGGGAAGCCTTGCCCTGCTTCCGGAAATCTGCGAATGACAACAAGCAAGCACTGATGCTTAAAGAATACAATGCTCTTATACTCTTTAATTCGATCATTTCTTTTAACTGATGAAGAAAATATAATATTACTGTATTTTTGAATATTTTCATCGCTTTCCATTAATTAGCCAAATATACTGTATGCCTTGTGGTAGCAGGCACCTCTGCGAAGGGTTCGTCGAGGAGCGAGTGGCTGCGGCTCCTGGGACATCCATAAAAACGTTGCGAGCCCAAAAGCCCAAAATTCTTAACATCCCTGAGCCCTAAACCCTAAACCGTAACCCTAAACCGTAACCCTAAACCCTAAACCCTAAACCCTAAACCCTAAACCCTAAACCCTAAACCCTCAACCCTAAACCTTATACCCTAAACCCTAAACCCTAAACCCTAAACCCTAAACCCTAAACCCTAAACCCTAAACCCTAAACCCTAAACCCTAAACCCTAAACCCAACCAAAGTTCCACAACATCCAGAATCCCCCCCCCCCCCACTCCTCAGGCCCGTCGACGCGGGCGGCGCAACGTCGGAGCCTTTCCCTCGCAAGTGGAAAGGGCTGCCACGACAAACACACAAAGGGTTTAGGGTAGGGTCTAGGGTTTAGGGTTTAGGTTTAGGGTTTAGGGTTGAGGGTTTAGGGTTTAGGGATTCGAAAAATGGAATGCACTGAGTCAATAGCAACCCAAGCTACCCTGAAAACACGCATGCGCTGAGAACGCAGGAAAACACACCTAGCACCGATCTAACGAAGACCTGACACACAGCTAAGACCCAAAAAGGCCCCTAAACCTTGCTTCGCATCCAGCATCCGGAGCAATAAACCCACAGAGTAAACCTTGGCAGCCTGGAGACTCGTTCGGCACCGGCAGTAGGCCGGAATTGAGGCCTTCCATTTCATAAGGGTTAGGGCTTGAAGGGTTTGAGGATTCATGAGGACTTTGTTGGGTTTCGGAAGGGCTTTGAGGTTTAGATGCACGACGAGCTCAGAAAGTTTTGTGAAAGCTCTTCAGGTCTGTGCATCAGATTCAGCACACTCTGCTTTGTGATGGGGTCCGTTGAGGACTCGTTTGTTTCGCGTCCGCAAAGCACTGCACGGTGTTCGCGATGCGTCCCAGGCATTCACGAGTCACGACCTGCAAAGCCTGAACCCAGTCGCTATAGAGTCTTTGCTGGTTGGCGCGGTTTAGGGTTTAGGGTTTGGGGTTTAGGGTGTAGGGTTTAGGGTTTAGGGCCTAGGATTTGGATTCATGGGCGTCGTTTCAACCTTCGGGCTCACTGGATGTGCTTGTCCTACACCTACCCCAATAGCCCCGACCCTTTTTAGCTCCCCCAAACACCTCCAAAATCTAGAAGGCTGAAACCCTAAACGCCTCAAGTCCTCACATCTCACACCCTGCCAAAGAAGCCTTGATACCTGAAACTCTGGACAAATTCGAGTGACAGCAAGCGCACCCCCTTCAAAAGCCCATGAGGTCGCAGGCAAGGTGCGAAAGGTTGGTGTGAAGAGATCATTCAACACGCCAGTGCCCTTCCGAGCAACAACGTTTCAGGGTATAGTCGTAGAGGGCCCCTCTGCAATATGACAATAAGTGAAGTTGCCAGCCATGCGCAGAAACAGGGATAGCTGTGTGCTGAAGACCAGCAGATATGTCATAAGGGACCCCTAATCTGGACCCCCAAATTTAGGATCCCCTGTCAGAAGGACCCTAATAAGGTACCTCTAACATTGCAAACCCCCAAATAATGCCGATCTGGGGTCGATTCTTCCACAGCGTGGAGTTGTGTATTGGGGCCGGTCTTTGTCGAGTGCGCTGTGTCTAGGATGTGCGCATAAACAATGCAGGTCTCTTGTGCGCTTGCCTGAATCAGAGCAAGATACAGCTCTCTGGATGTGTTTAAGGGGGGATCTCCGAAAGCCCACAGGGTTTGAGGTCTCGTGGATGGCAGTGTTTGGTGGTCGTGGGTGTATAGCTTAACTGCGAAGCTAGTCGACCCAACTCATTCCCCGAACTCCTGCCAGAAATGAATCCCTCTGGCCAAAAACCACACTCCAGTACATCCCAAACCCATCTGCAACGTGAACCCTGGATGCCGACTTAGAACCTGAAACTCCGGACTTTGTCGGGCCCAGTCAGTGCCTAAACCCTAAAGCCTGAACCCTGAAGCATGCTGGCCTCGTCCTCCGTAAGAGGTGGAGGGCCAGAGGCGCGCCGGCCTCGTTGGCCCAAAGTGGCCCCCAAAGCTCCACAACCCTGTCTGCCTCCCTACTTCTAAATTCTCCCCTTAGAACCTAAATTCAAATAATGCGTTTCATATTTTTTGTTGGGTTTCATATAAACAAAAATAAAGTTTGAAAAAAACCAAGGGGGATATAGACTTAAGCTCAGGGCTGACTCTGAATGTTGGCCTATTGGGGGGCCTTGCATGGCGAGGTGCGCTGCTTTCCGGATGAAAAGCGACGTTCTGAAAGCTAGGGGTTTAGGGTTTAGGGTTTAGGGTGCAGGGTTTAGGGTTAGTTTAGGGCCCCAAAGTTACATTGTACGAGCCCTTGCATGAACCGAACCTGCACCGTCGGACAAGCACTCCTAATCTGGGATGGCCCCGTTGCCAAGCACATGTTCGGTTTTTTGGGATGGGGGTCGGTCTTTTCGGCCAGAGTCACCCAACTGCAAAGCTGCTGGGTGTTGATCGTCCGCTTCCCGCTGCTTAGACGACTGCCGGTGCGTGCCATCAGCAGGGGGGCCATGCAGTAGGCTGTCATATCTGTGGCAAAGCACAACTCGGTGGCCCCAGACCCTTGAAACGTGTCGCGTTCTGCTTTTTTGTCTTCACGTCGGCCGAATTGGCGCGCATGCGGCCTTCGCATGAATGGTGTGTCTTGGGAAGCATCCTGCGGCTGCTCGAGAGCGGTGCAGAGCGGTCATTTCCACAATCTGTTGTCTGGGGGACCTGTTCTTGTGCTTGCCGGCCGTTTCCATTTTTGAGGCTGAAACTTCACTAGCCATTGTCAACGGGCCTGACCTCCAAGTCAGGTGCAGCTGGAAGTTAAACTTACAGGGGTGGAGGTTGTTTTCAGAGGTTCAGATGATCCTGATTTGAGGTTGCAGTTTTTCCTTCGAGCTGCGGCGGTCTGTGACTTTGGATATGGGGTGTCTCGATTAGCATTTGCAAGCTCATGCTGCTTGATCCTGAGGGTCCTCGAGTTACTTCACCGTGCGCTCTTCCAACGCGCCGCGGCCCGACACATGCAAGCAGTTTCATTCACGTAGCCACACCTTGTGGCAAAATGCGATGGCCAGGCGCGGATTTCATTGTAACCCCCATATACGCCTTATATAGTCCCTATATACCGAAGTAGCCCCTAAATATGCCCCTAAATAACCCCGAAGGTCCCTTGTAAGGGTCCCTCCTCTAGTCCCTTGATTTCAGATCGTTTTCAGCATCGGCGGAACTGCGAGAAGACTGCCGAACCATGGGATGGCCAGCTGCTTGAAAAAAAAAAACCTCCTGTGCCAAAACCAAAAAATCCACCAAGGAACAAAGCCCTAACCCTAAACCCTAAACCCAAAACCCTAAAACAAAAAATCCAAGAACTCCTCGTCTTGTTCCCCACCCTCGGTGTGGGGTTGTTAGATTTTAAACAAAACTCTTCTCCTCGCCCGGAACTCCTCTCCTCGCCCGG